ACCTGCAGAATTGCTAGGGATGCTGGTAAGAGCAGACACCCCTAGCATTCCTCAGGGGCTCCATCTATTGGTGGGGAGCGGCACCTGCTGGAAAACGGGTCCAGCGTCCCCAATATTGCAATGAATGTTTGTACAGACAAATTGGATAGAGTTGTTTGATATGCTACGCCGCCGTGGGCAACGGAGATCCAATCTCCATCTTTCGAGGAGAAGCTCAAAAAGTGACACAGCCTGACCGTTGATCTAACTTCCAAACTCAGCCATTGAATACTTTGCGGCAGCTGAGACCCACTCCACAGCTTCCACAGCTTCCGAGCAGTAGCTCAGCAAATGACACTGGCAGACCGTTGATCTAACTTCTAAGCACAGTCATTTAATACTTTGCCTGCTGTGGGCACCAGATCCCGAAGTAGCCCCGAAGGGCAACAGAGTGGTGTAGTCATCCGGGCCTGAAGCTGCTGCTGTTCGTCGTAGGTGCATCTGAGTCTCTGCGAACAGGATGGCATGCTGTCTCCTCTTGGGCCTTGGCCACCCACGATTGTACAGCTCTTCGTGCAGCCGGTGTCATGACTGTCCGGCCTCACTGTTATCCCTTTGTAGCTGATGATCCACAGCACTGCTGTTGTCCTCCGAGTCAATCATAGGCGGATGAGGGGGGAAGGGGAAGGGAGGGGGAGAGGGGAAGGGAGCGGGGGGGCACATCGTAGCATAGGTGGGGGTGAAGTTAGGTCGGAGGGGTCGGGAGTAAGACGAAGTTGGTTGGGAGGTGTGGGACACCAAAGTCCTCCAGCGGTCTTCTTTTCCAGGCAGACTCCGTTGCTCTCCAGGGTTTCCAATGTATTTGAAGCCCATCATCCAACTCTGAAAAGGTATGGTTGGGGTCCTGCCAGATTTGGAGATAAGAGTCGTGGAGGGCTTGTCTGACCGTGGGTTCTTTCTCGTCGAGGAAGTGTCTTTGCATTTCCTTCCAGGCTTCGTGGGTCCGGGCTCTAATTACTTCTTCTATCGCCTGTTGTGCCTGTTGTAGCCCGAACTGGTGGTCCTTTCTCTCAAAGGAGCACCTAGCTCACCAGGCCAGCATCAGCACCTGCAGCCTCATGTAGGCAAAGAGGTTGGTGGCGAAGGGGGTCCATAATTTCATCAGGTGCAGGTTTCTGTTGAGCAGGAGAAGGCCAGCGTCCCAAGGGATGAGGAAGCCGGCCAGGTGGTGAAACGCTGCGTCCCACCACCCCCATATCTGAGCAGCCATTGGGCAAGCCAGCAGGCAGTGTTGCAAGGTTGCCCTGGCTGGTTGAGAGGACCTGCCACAGTAAGCGCAGATGGGAGACAGTAAGCCTTTCTGCTCGAGGTCTGTTCTCGTCACGAGCCAGTCCGACGTAGGGAGACAGCGGTGAACGGCGATTTCGTCAAAACGGACATTTTATATTTTTTGAACGAAATTGAAATTGTCATTTTTGAGATGATTGAAGTGCAAAAACCATTACAATGGGCGTTTTGGTGTGAGGGGTAAGGGGTAAGGTATAAGGGGTAAGGTATAAGGGGTAAGGTGTAAGGGTTAAGGTGTAAGGGGTAAGGTGTAAGGGGTAAGGTGTAAGGTGTAAGGTGTATGGGGTAAGGTGTAAGGTGTAAGGTACCATGCAAGGGGCAAGTGACACAGTGCACCGAGGAATAATTAACACCTTATATACATTGTTTTTTGTCAAGCGCMACCTCGTGCCAACCACGTCCGCTCCCTTCGCAATCATACTACATAATATCACGTACACACTACTCACGAGCCACTGTGTCCAATGYCATCCGACGACGTATCGCGGGTATGTCATCTGCGGTGAAACAGAAAGGCGGAAGTTGGCCCCGTGCCAAAAGTGACGCGTACGTGAGTACAAAGACCCCACATTCGTTCGTGTCATGTTGCTTTGGAATGCCCTCTACATTCCATATGTGATTGAATGGTCTCGTGTCCACCTCTTTGCCTTGCRATTTCGATCTTTCGAATAAAAACTTWGCAAACCCGCCGGTTACTTTTAACGCGAACTCCTTGTCGGGGTCGAGGGGGTCGTAGAATTCGAATTTCCTCCTCCTCAAGTCAGCCACGACCAAGGTCCAGTGGTCCTGATGTGCGATATGGAAAGGAGCAATAATCAAATCCATGTCACTTATAATTACATCCTGGTACCAGCATTCTACCTCTCGACCTCTATATCTCATGTCATTATCGAAAAGTTTGACAAAAAAAAACGAGCTCAACACTGATACTCTGGGAATGCGACCGTTTCCTTCTCTAATGACTATCTCATTATCCGCGTCGCATTCTGCGAGCTGTATTCTACAGCAGTTGTCTAATGCTACGAGGTTGAGATAAAAGTTGATCACGTTGTCGTTTAACCACTGTTGTTCGACGACGAGTAAAAGGAAATCGTTGCGAGTGAGTTGCAACACTTCGTTATTGTGCGCATCTTGTGTGCTGACAACGGGATACCTATTCCCGTATTCGCGAATGATATGCGCTAGTGCTGCCATCTCCCTGTCCGATAAAGACAAAGTTGCTAGATGCATTGTCCATCCTTTTTTGCACAATCTTGTATCCGTTGTTGTCATTTATACTGCACACCACAGACGATGAGGAAGAGGACATTCACGCGGGCGGACGGGGCAAGTATTGTGAGTGCATGGCCAAACATTTTGTGAGAGCTGATGCATGCAAGGCATGTTTTCATTATTTCTCTAATATTTTACTTGTATGAACGTCATTCACATATGCAGTCATTCATTCCTCGCATCGATCGACCACCCTTATATAGTACGTCCGCAAACACATGTCCATGTCGCAACAAACGATATATATATATATATATATATATATATATATATATAGAGAGAGAGAGAGAGAGAGAGAGAGAGAGAGAGAGATGTACGTTGAGACGGACAATCAATCTAAACATCTAAGGTCTATTAAAAATTTGAGGTGAAAAAAAATATATACATAAATGGACAAACGATGAAGAATTGGTGCCTACAGAGATTAATACCAATTCTGTTTTAAACAAAACAACGAACCAAGTCAATTACGCAATTTCGTTCAACAAGGCAGAGGTGAAGTTGTAATCATATCACTGGATTCTCCCCCTCCAATTGCACCCCTCTCGCCTCACCCACCCTCACCCTTTTAATCAATATCAGCGGTTAAGGTGTCGAGGTTACGAGAACGGTGCATTCCCTCCACATCCCCTCCCTTCCCGCCATCCCCACCGGCCCCTCCCTGTGGTGTCAGCGGTAATTGTGCATCACCTTTGCCAGTGCATAAAGACGGTTGCAACTGACTCTCCTCCACGCTCGGCCCAACATCAGACTCTGACTCGATCTCGGATCTGCCTTGCATTGCAGCATTTGTTATCAATAAACTCCCGTACGTGGCACCTGCATCCGGGGGCAACGTCGTTGACACATCGATGGGTGAGGACGATTGTGCCGCGGCGACCGAGATGGATTTTTCCGATATTTGCGGCTTAGACATGATGTCAACCTCTTGAGGCCCGACAACAGTAGTCCCGTCATCTCCCCTGTGCCCTGCTTGCGCGGCCACAAAGGCCGGCTCAGCCGAAGGCATGAAATCATGAGAGCAGCTCCTCTCCAAGGTTCTGGCGGTTTGATCAACCTTCCAGTTGATTGACCCACGTGAGGGACTCGAGCGCAGGGCATAAAATTTGTTGCTGTACTCCTGCTGTCGATTGTCGCGCAAGACATGAAACAATTCTTCGGCCTTGGCTTTGATGGCGTCCTCGCTCTGCTCTGGATTCTCGACGCGCACGCGATGCAGGATCGCGAGTTCCGTCGTTTTCAACCAGATGTCCTTTGACATCCGGCGAAAAATCTTCCAACCGCTTGTGTATTTCACCGCCATCTTCCACTCCGCATCTTGGATGCACGGCTGTAAAACGCCCTCATGCCATATGATGTCATGGCCCCGCTGATCCTCGCCTGTGTGGGTGTGTTTGCCCTCCAAGAAATATATCGTGTCCGGGTCAGCACAGTAGCCTGAAGGAATTGCATCGCCTGGTGCGAGCGTCGACGCCTCGCCTGGTATCTCAATGTCGTCTTCTTCATTGCCACCGCATCTTCCAATGTCTTGCAATGCAGCACTCTCGGACGGGGCCACCATTGAGGCGACGCTTGGGGCGGCCACCGGGATGGACCCTCCGTGCG